TTGATTTCCAGGGAAAGGCTGCAACCAGCTTCCCATCATATCTGAAATGCCGTCAGGGGGTCTAGTCAAGTCAAAGGCACAGATCATCACCTGCTAGACAAATCTGAGAAGGCTACACTAGAACATAAAATGATGAAGATTCTCTTTGAGGCCACAGAAATGGCATTCTTCATTGCCACCCAATCCATCTTCTTTTGATGGGATTGTCTTTAGTTAAAATGCTATTTTTGATAATCACCCACAAAAAACCCTAATCTTTAGGGGAACTCTTAATTTCCAAATCCCTCTAAACCCAGCCAGGGGAGAGGATTTGAGAAACACGTATAGTTCCTTCACCACAAATTTGTTCTTATTGTTCAGCAACCAAAGGACTTTATCCTTCTCATCCACAAGCTCAACTTCATCAACGAGCTTTTTTAACTCTTCCCTCTGAACCAAATGCTCTCCATGTAAAGTTCTCTTGAAGGTAAACCTATCCCAACCAGCTTCCTTAACAGTTTTAATAGTAACTAGCTTGGGAAATGTGATGTTGTATAATCTGGGAAATATCTCCGCTTGCTTTTTATCTCCTAGCCAAAGATCTTCCCAAAATAAGGTCCTAGCACCATCACCTATCACCCTTTCTGGCCAGGCTAACAAAGATTTCTTTGACTTTCATCAACCCCTGACAGAAGTGAGAATCATTGTTGCCACAACTCACTGCAGACAATGTTTAGCTAGCATTTGTTATGCAACAACTCTTGCCATAAACCTTTAGAATTCTCAAGCTTCCACAACCATTTCATTAGCAGGCATTTGTATTTCAGCTAGCAGACAATGTTTTCATTTTGTATTGCTTTACTTGCTAGCTGAAATACAAATTTGTCTCGCTTGTCATGCATGTTCTGACATGTATATACATAGCACGATAGGGATTTTAAATAGCTATATACAAATTTGTTTCACTTGTCATGAACGCATGTTGTCCCACTCATCGTGTACATGCATGCTTATATATTTTTGGATTCTATATACGAATACGGCATAACAACTACAGGACTTATAATAAACAGATTTTTTCTTTGAGGGGTTAAACCAAGCTTTATTACTTAAATTCCACATGACGTGGGATACAGATCGGATCATGCGGAAAATGAAATTGTATGATGACTCGTGGACTGTCTTAGTGGTCTGCCCCAGACCTCACCTCCAATCCCTTTTCTATGTATAATCTTCTGAATCGATGCTGTCTCTTTAGCAATAATTAGGTCCCTAGAATTGTTTCGTACAAGAAAGATTAATTTAGGCATTTCGCAAGAAAAAGATTAATTTGGGCAAGATAAATTTGGTCAAAATACCAGTAAATCAAGCTGTATTACGTTAGAACCATTTAGTAAAACCGAAGTTTATACATGCAGCCGGAGGGAGAGAGTAGGCAGTGGACACCTAGCCCATCCAAAAGGACCGAAAAGACGGATCCTCCGTCAACAAAACAAGGCACCCGCTTTTAAAACGGGCGGCGCCGCGGCCCGTCTAGTTGGAGGATCTCTCACGACACCTCCCGAGCCTGCCGCATGCTGACGCTGGCGAGGAGGAGCATGTATGACGGTGGCCCGTCACACCACGAGCGGCGCCCGGTCGAGCAGCAAAGCACAAGGTAGCGGTCGTGGCCGCGCAGGCGTCCCGTCCGTCACTGCGTCACGAGCGCGCGGCGCGGCCAAGCGTCTGGGCGTCGGTAGCACAGCTCGGTCAAACTTTCACGCTCCGGATCTCAGCCGCTTTCACAGCCAAATCCGCCCGTGCGGCTCCGCACGTGTGCCATTGCCCCTGCCACCGCCCCGATCCGCTCGTCGAATCCCGAATGAAATGGAGCCCGCGTGGTGCCGTGGAGTCCTGGTGAAGTTGTACCGGGAGGGGAGGAATCATCGGCGGTAGCACGTCACCGGTGTGCGGGGCCATGGTGCGGTGTGAACAGGCGTACGCTTTGTGGCGCCGCGATTGTACGTACGGCTTGCGTCCAGATTTCGGGGTATTTTGTTCGTGCGTGCGTGCGTGCGGGTTGCGGGGCGGTGGGTCGTGGGCGTCGGCAGACGCAGGAGGTGTGGGCTGGACCGATGCGATGCGGTGCGCGCGGGATGGACGCAGAGTGGAGGAGGTGGATGCGATACGTACGTGGTGCTGCGGAGACCGGCGGCGTGAGCGTGAGGAGGTTCCGTCCGCGTGCGCTAATATTTTTTGGCCGATTTCGTCTCATTCATGTTCCCGGTGTGTCGATCGCTTGTCGGTTCGATCGAGGACAGCGTGGTTGGTCTGTGACTTGGACGGGTATGCACGTATGGTCATGGCCCTCACAGAAAGGAAAAGGTTTCTTTAGGGTATAAACAAAAGGTTAATTCGTTCGGAAAAGTAGGGTGAGTGAATATGTGCGTGCCCCCACTGAGCTCTTTTGGGCGTGCATGATTCCTTAGGTTCAGGTGCATGCATGTCAGCATGTGGTCAGGCACGTCACTACGTTACTATGGTGCGATGTGATCGCTGAGCTGAAAATCCTAGTTGGAGAGCCGGGTGATTCACTGTTTGTTTTTTTCATGGTAATACTTGTTTCATTCGTATCATAAAGATCAAATTACAAGTCACGTAAAAGCCGGCATGATAAAACCGAAAAGATAGCAGAACATGCTAAGCTTAACACCAACGTCCGTCACCTGT